CTTACAGCTCTGTGTCTTACAGCTCTGTGTCTCACAGCTCTGTGTCTCACAGCTCTGTGTCTTACAGCTCCGTGTCTTACAGCTGCGTGTCTCACAGCTCCGTGTCTTACAGCTCCGTGTCTCACAGCTCTGTGTCTTACAGCTCCGTGTCTTACAGCTCTGTGTCTTACAGCTCCGTGTCTCACAGCTCTGTGTCTCACAGCTCTGTGTCTTACAGTTCTGTGTCTTACAGTTCTGTCTTACAGCTCTGTGTCTTACAGCTCTGTGTCTCACAGCTCTGTGTCTTACAGCTCTGTGTCTTACAGCCCTGTGCCTTACAGCCCTGTGTCTTACAGCTCTGTGTCTTACAGCCCTGTGTCTTACAGCCCTGTGTCTTACAGCCCTGTGTCTCACAGCTCTGTGTCTCACAGTTCTGTGTCTCACAGCTCTGTGTCTCACAGTTCTGTGTCTCACAGCTCTGTGTCTCACAGTTCTGTGTCTCACAGCTCTGTGTCTCACAGCTCTGTGTCTCACAGTTCTGTGTCTTACAGCTCTGTCTTACAGCTCTGTGTCTTACAGCTCTGTGTCTCACAGCTCTGTGTCTCACAGCTCTGTCTTACAGCTCTGTGTCTCACAGCTCTGTGTCTCACAGCTCTGTGTCTCACAGCTCTGTGTCTCACAGTTCTGTGTCTTACAGCTCTGTCTTACAGCTCTGTGTCTTACAGCTCTGTGTCTCACAGCTCTGTGTCTCACAGTTCTGTGTCTTACAGTTCTGTGTCTTACAGCTCTGTGCCTTACAGCTCTGTGTCTTACAGCTCTGTGTCTTACAGCTCTGTGTCTCACAGCTCTGTGTCTTACAGCCCTGTGTCTTACAGCCCTGTGTCTCACAGCTCTCTGTCTCACAGCTCCTTGTCTTACAGCACTGTGTCTCACAGCTCTGTGTCTCACAGCTCTGTGTCTCACAGTTCTGTGTCTTACAGCTCTGTGTCTCACAGCTCTGTGTCTCACAGCTCTGTGTCTCACAGCTCTGTGTCTCACAGTTCTGTGTCTTACAGCTCTGTGTCTTACAGCTCTCTGTCTCACAGCTCTGTGTCTTACAGCTCCGTGTCTTACAGCTCCGTGTCTCACTCACAGCACTATGTCTCACAGCTCTGTGTCTTACAGCTCCGTGTCTTACAGCTCCGTGTCTCACAGCTCTGTGTCTCACAGCTCTGTGTCTTACAGCTCTGTGTCTTACAGCTCTGTGGCTGTGTCCAAAACGACAGGCCGCGTCCTCCGGAGGACCCAGACTCCCCGGTCTCGGCGGGCTGGGTCCTTGGTAGACCAGAAAAAAAGAGTCTGTGAACTTGGATGGTCCAGCCTCCCCTCCTTACCCCGGCGTACGTCATGTCACCTAGCAACTGTGA